TAAACACACACACACACACACACACACACACACATACACACACACACACACACACACACAGGCACACACACAAAAAAACATGCACACATACGCAGTATGTTTGCACTCTCAAACAGTCTAACAGTCACATGCGTACTATAAATGAACAGTAATATAAACAATAATAATGTTAAGCTAAGCTAAGTGATGGAGGCATGCAGCATGGAAGCAGATGGTCAATGGTGTACAGTTTGTTTCATCTGTAATTAGGAGCTCGGCTCAAGCCAGTGTAGTATAGATCCACTAGATCAAAGCAAGTTGTGGTCATCCTGAGATAACACCCCCCTCTCCTGTGTCTATTGTCCTTTGAGTTTCAGACAGGGTGGCCGCATGTCTCTGAACTGATCCGGCTGGTGTAGCGTAGATCCACTTGATCAAAGCAAGTTGTGACTTGTGGTCATCCTGAGACACTCACACACACACACTCATGCATGCACACACACACGCACACACACACACACACCTGTGTATTGTCTTTTGAGTTTGTGACCCGGTGACCGCGCTGGTCTGAACTGGCCCAGCTGGTGCGCCCACCTTAACTTTCCCTCTTTCGCCCGTCTTTACTGGTGGTTTATGCAGCAGGCCCATGGAATGACAGCAATTTACGGGTTATAAGTCCTTGCTCGATGGGCGTAGAGTTGGACTTCCTCCACCAGAGCAGTGCTACTGACTGAATGTCTTTAGACAATTCCCAAAGGGGGGATATTAACATGTTCTTATGCACAGTAGAATTGTACATGGGATGATTTATCTGTCATGCTCATACTGTGCTGAAACAATATAGGGGGAACTACTGCTTTTTCTTTTCTCATCATTACTATCGTCATTTTTCCTTTGCTTCTTTTGTATGTTTGTCCCTCTCTTGTGAACTGATATTTCCGAGGTACCTTGAGCAGAGTTAGCCTGATTCCTTGTTTGGACTTCTCTGTTGACGTCCACCCCTTGGCGCTCGTATGACCTTATGCAGTTGTGAGCGCTGTAAAACCTTTTTTAAACTAAAGGTAGAGTTGTGTTCGTCGGTGGGAGGGACTGTTTGTTACTACTAGTCAACTACCGGACCGTCCACCCCAAGCTGGAAAAAAAAAAGACGACGCTGACAGTGAGCAGTCACCTAGGGTGTGGGGTAAAGTTCATGGGTATTGTTTTCCTGTCTCATTCCATGTGGTACAGCCATTTCCTTGTTACGTGCTGTAAACTACTGTTTTGTTTACTGGCACCATTCTGTTTGGGCTTATGGCTGGGGCTGGAGAGAGTCACCAGTTGGTCCTAACTTTTTTCTTTTACCTTTGTTATCTCAAACGTACTGTTACTTTTTTCCTTAGCGTAGATGACCATTATTGTGTCAATATGCCTTTCTGGGATTTGAACCCAAAGACAAACTTGCCCACTTTGCCAGACACACAGTCCCTTGTGGGTCGTTGGCGGGTGCTCTGGTGTGGTTTGCTTCTTCTATCCTATCAAACATCTATCGTATTCATCTTCCCTCCTTCTCTTTTGTATTTGTTACCCTCTTGTAACGAATCTAATCTTTTGCACTTATATGACCTTATTTTGTTGCAAGTGCCATAAAACACTTGCTAAAACAAAACACAGTCCCTTCATAATTTGATGTACTTTTCTTTTCGATGTAAGTTGTTGTCCTGATTTGCCTTAGTGAATGTTGTCATTAGCTAGCGGATTTGCTTTGAATTTGAACCTATCTCCAACTTGTTCTCGATTTGTACCTGCTTGTTCTTAGTGGTTGATGGGCACTCATAATGGTCTGTTCTTTCTGCCATCTTTTCACTTTTTAGTGTTACAATGCCAAAGCTTGTTCTTGGGAGAAATTCTATCATAAATATGCTGTGAGCTTTGACTTAACAAAGACAGTGTTTTCAGTCTGTATCGGTTTGTCTTGTTGTAAACTCATATCTTTGAGTGTAACCTGTTTCAGGATTTGTTCACATAATAAGTGAATGGTGATGCTTTTCCTCGAGAAAACTTTAGACTTGACATGTTGGTGGTGGGCGGGTTCTCTGGTGTGGTTTGCTCCTTCTTTCCTATCAACATCTATCGCCCTAATCACTCCTCCATCTTTTTTGTGTTTGTTACTCTCTTGTAACACCTCTAATCTCCGGCACTTATATGACCTTATTGTGTTGCAAGTGCCGAAAAACTTAAACTAAAACAAAGACTTTATATGGTTTAGGCGAGGATCTGAACAGAAACCATGTATTTTGTTTCCCCTTGCCTTCCTTTGACTGATATTGACTGACGTACCTCTTCTCTTCCACAGCAAAACAAATTCATCTTCCAATATCGACAACCTCTTGAATTCTTCTAAACCATCCAATTCAAGGGGTTCCACACCTCCCACTCCTGGTAAGACATTCATGATTGTCATTTTTGGGGGGTTAGGGAGAACTTGCTTCTTCTTTCCTATCAAACATCTATCGTCCTTATCTCCCCTTTTTCTTTTTTATGTTTGTTACTCTCATGTAACACCTCTAATCTTCTGGCGCTCATATGACCGTATGATGTTGCGAGCGCCGTAAAACCCTATACTACATACATACAAACCTCTACTAAAACTAAAACTAACAAATTTGTGTCATGATCTGATGGAATCAGGCACTCATCAATTTTTGAGCATATATATATGGAGTTTTTGGTATAATCTTAAAGCCTGTCCTTTTGCCTTGCTTTTGGTGGGAAAAAAATATCAATCTATGTTGAACAGAAATCGAAACATTTTATATCGGAAGTTTAGTAATTTCCATAGTTTGAGAGTCCTTGGAAACTGAAAATTGACATTTTTTGTGCCTTTAATCGATGTTTTTCAGTTAAGTCCACACAGAAATGTGTTCTTTAAAGGGCATGAAAGGTGTTGAGTCAAAAAACACAAATTCGAAACAAATTCCCCAACTTGCGGAAAAATGCCAGTTTCTTGGCTTTCATTATTTTGACAAGCGCCTGATTTCACCCTGCTGCCTCACAAATTTCTATTATTGTGTCAATGATACAAGCATCTTTGGTGTAATGGGTTCGATTCTTATCTGATCTGTGCAAAAGAAGTGAGTTTGATTTTTGCATGGGGGGAGTTTAATCTGATTTGAGGATCCTCCCATCTTTCTGATGTTATATTGTATATCTCTCTGTCAGGGTTATCACTGACAGCAGGGTCAAAGCTAAGCAGCCAGCCTTGTAAAGGATTGAAATAGTGTTTTATTGGGAGAGGGGAACTATTTGTAACGTTTTATTGCGAGAGGGAAATTATTTATAATCATTCGGATATTTCTATTTTGGTGAACATGGGTTTTCCAAAGGGTCTTTATTTGCAGTTCTCTAATTGTGTGAGCTGCATTTTGAGTATATTGTCCAGGTAGAGCTCCGCTAAGTAGAAAAAACATGTGCAAATATAGGCACTGAATGGGTCATAAATCGCAAAATTTTAATTCTGAAAACTAAATGTATCTTTCTTTTTTTTTTTTATGACAAGTTTTTGGGATGTGAATATCAGATGTCTCCTAAGAAACCACATTTCTGTTGCTTCTATTTTATTTTCACTACCTTTTGTGATTGCCCAGCATTCACAGCCATATAGAAGGGTTTACTGTACATACATAGCATTTCAGAACTTTTATTTTGGTAGTCATTGAGAGTGAGTGGTTGGCGGGTGCTTTGTTGTGGTTTGCTTCTTCTTTCCTATAAAAAATCTGTCGTCTTTATCTCCCCTCCTTCTTTTTTGTGTTTGTTACTCTCTTGTAACACCTCTAATCTTGGGCACTTTTATGACCTTATTGTGTTGAAAGTGCCGTAAAACTCTTACTAAAACTAAATCATTGAGATAGTTCAAATGAAGAAAGTAAATGGATTGTTGTACGAATTGTCGCTGAGCTGTTCTTTCTCTTCGTGCACAACAAGCAGGCATCGAGGAGACTCAGAATGGTGTGGACAGCAATGTGGGTGAGGACAGCGACAGTTTGGGCAACTCCAAGTCCAGCAAAGCTAGCATCACGCCGCCCGCCAAGGAGAAACGAAAGCCTTTCTTCAAGAAGGTGAGAGATCCCAGCTAGCTCTTGGCTCTCGCAGGGAAGAAATCATCGGCCGGCAACTGTTCAGATGTGCTGAGCCAAAAAGTTTGAATTTTATATATTAAAAAAACAACTGGGGTTTCTTAATGTATGGTATTGATTGCATGAGCCTCAAGAAACATTTTGTCAAAATTCAAACCCTAAATGTTGATAAAATCATCATCATCATTTTCATCATCATCATCCAGTGCCAGATCTGCGACTGACATCGGTGATCATGGTTCTCAATGCATTCCTTTGCTCGGATGCCCCACTACCCATTTGTTTAGGTTTTCTAAGTAGGTTGCTCTGGGCCTACACCTGCCTTGTTTGCCTTCAATTTTGCCATTGAGATAAAGAAAGATGTGTAATGTAGGTACAGTCGTAAAAGAGTGAAACCTTTTTTTTTCTTCTGGGTTTAGATTAGTTTAGAACAGTTGAACACCTTGCTGATGAAACGCTGTTCCTAATTCCATTATCTAGGAGGTAATAAGAGTGTTTTGAGTGAGCTTTTCCTGCTTTTTATAACTTGTTTTAAATGTATTTTTTTGGGTACATGTTTTGTCTAATTGGGTACACTGTTTTGAGGGAAATATAGTTTTAAAAATTTTGAATTATCAATCTTAATAAGTAGTTTTCCTATGTGTGCAATATTGTTAGAGGTGAGCATTGTGTCCTGAGTTGTTCACTGCCAACGTGACAGGTTCTGTCAAACATACACATGGTAGCGTATTCTTTCCTGTGAGAACATAAGCTGCCTAGAGTTCATTTTTTAAAACTTTTTAAATATATGAAATACTGTATGAATATTACTTTTTGGTGATGACTTCCAATAAGATTTAGTTGCCACATGTTAGAAATTTTGTGACAATTGTAAAAGTCATAATATCAATAATCATTTTCTTCTTCTTTTAAATCTGTGGGAAGGGTTCCCCTCTACTATCACTCATATTTTCAGTAGACCAGAAAAGCAAAATTAGGTTATGTAACTACCAAGTGGCGTGTAAAAAAATGTATATGATGTGTGTTTGAGTACCTTGTACAGAAGTACGTTCTCATGTAGGAACATAATATTCTATTTTCTAGTATTGCTCCTTACAGGCTTTCCAAAGCGTAAGAAACATTATGGACTTTCAAGACTGGAATTGCAAATAATAATGAGAGTGAAGCCCATACACATCTGTTGTATATGTGTCTTTTACCATTGTTAACTATTGAGCCTGAATTTACTGAATGCATAAAATTGTGTGGAACCTGGAGTCTCGGAAATGGATGTACAGAAAAGTGGGAAGACATGGAGTGGCATCAAGCCACTAGCATGGCCAATATCCTGATCCAGGGTGAGAAAGGCAACGATGATGATGATGATAAAATTGTGTGGGATGGGTTTGAAAGTGCGTTACTTAAACAGTGCCCATTGTCTTGACCCGCTGTGTGGATAGTCTGTCCTTGAACTGGAAAAGTTGGCAGCTATGCAAATTGTATATTTCCCTTTGTCTCGTTTCTACGTTTCAGTCTGAAAGCACCCCTCCTTATGAAGTTGTGCCTTCCATGCGCCCGGTTGTCCTGATTGGCCCATCCCTCAAAGGTTATGAGGTCACAGATATGATGCAGAAGGCTCTCTTTGACTTTCTCAAGCGCAGGTTTGAAGGCCGGTAAGTTAAACTGTTCTTTGCCAGTCTAGATGAAGAGACCCTAGAGTGGATAAGTGTTCAAGCGTAATTGTTTTTGTTTGTTTGTTTGGTTGCTTTTTGAGTTCTGGCTTAATTGATTTTACTCTTGCATTTCCTTGTTGAACCACAATATGAACTGTAAAGACTGAGATATGATTTTTTTTAAAGACCATTGATTGCTGACTTTTTTTTTCTTTTCTCCCAGAATAATAATCACTCGAGTAGCTGCTGATATCTCCCTGGCCAAGCGTTCCTTGCTCAACAATCCCAGCAAGAGAGCGATCATGGAGAGAACCAACCCACGGGCATCTGGCTTAGGTAAGACAAGAGGGGAATACATACCTTCTCTGCTGTGAGCTGACAAAACGCCTTTTTTTCCTTCACAGTAGTTTCGAGAAAAGGGTTTTTTGTCAGCATAATTATTTAGCTCTTTTTATATATCCAAGGACTCGATACCCATCCTGGGGCGGCCGTACCATATCAGCCGAAATTCAGGGTGTATATTTCAAAGTACTCTGTTTCTTACATTTACTCTTAAATTTTTACAGAAACTTCACAATTATGTTAGAAATTGAATGTAGTATCTGAAAATGTATGTGGCTAGGAATTACACCAATTGTACCATATGTAGATTGTTAGGTGTATTCCACCCTCCAACTTGACCCTGATTGCCGCACCCACGACGTCCCCTTGGACACAACAGAATTTACGACACTTGCATGAAAAAGTATTGTTCCCCCTCACAACCCAACGCCACTTCAAGATGTACTTCGTCGGTCGTGGACGTGCGTTTTTGAGACATTTTTCAAGCTTCTACACCCGTCAAAAACAGTGCTTCCACTCTTCCGTATTTTTACGGAAATCGGTACTTTCTGCCAGTTCCGTACTTGTCCCTCCATCATTATCAACTCCCTCTGTAAAAAAACCGACAGCGCAGGACTGCCGAAATTCCGTACTCGCCTTCGTGTTGTCTTGTATAAGTTACGAATATTTACGGTAATTCTCTTGGCAACAAGTTAAAGTTATAGAAACCTGCCAGATTGCGCATTTCCTACAATCGGCCATTATTCCGCTGTGTCCCATGCATTCATTATGGGTTGGTCGGCAGTACATTTTTTACCTGCAGATGGATCAAAATCTGGCGAACCGTTTGTTCCAATTTCTTCCTTTCTATCATTCACTCATTCCTTCTGTCTATCTTCGGATTGTTGCCGCGGCTGGGAAATCTGCGCGTTGATCAAGTTAATTGACTTGTGATCTTAGACAGAAAATTACTGTCAGAAAGAAACTTTTCACTGCAAATTTGTCTAGATATAGAGAAATGATCAAAGCGAAGATTCTACAACACGTGAACGCATTAAGGGCCGCGATGAAAGAAATAATATATGCTGATATGGGGGTGCCCACAACGGACAGGATCGGCTGATCGCCGGACTCGGTCGCCTCAAAAGCAAACGTGTTTGTTTTCATTTTCGGTTTCAGGCGATCGAGTCGGGCGATGGGCCCGATCCAGCTGTAGGTAAAATCAAAAATAATTCGAAGTAGTGTTCCGAGGTTGTGACAGGCGACAATCAGACGTGAAAATTGAGAAAAGAAATTGGGTATACGCTGCACAACTATATTTTGAAGGTACATCTATTTATTATTCCCAGGTTTGCCTGCTATCAATGGTGTGACGACAAATTAATTGAATTATAGTAGCAATGAAAGGGGAACCTGCTTTTAAACATTGCCAGCAATGGAAAGATATGTTGGTGAAAAATTCAAACAAGACAAAAATGTTGGTGAAAAAATAAATGTTATGGGCTGTAGGAAAGCTCTTCAAACAGGCTCCCAAATGCCATTTTCAACCCTCTAAAAGCACTAAATTTCAATTTTTTCGGGGGGTTCGCCCCCAGAACCCCCACTGGGACGCTGTCCCTGGACCCTGCTGGAGGCCTCTACAGCCCCCAGGCCCCCTGCAGAATTTTCCTTACTTTTCACCTTCGGCTAGTGGAAGCACTGCAAAAACAAAAGAAACGCTGTTCCTTGTAAAATTGAAATATTCAGACAGAGCTAGCATAGCTGCATTTGCGTATTTCTTACTTTACAAGCAGAACGAGCTGTTTGGTGTGACCGTATAGCTGTTCTGATTTTACTCGTAGCCCGGCCTAGTCTTCGTTATGAGTATACTCGTAGCCTGGATCAAAGGAGTTAAAAATAGAGTGATCCCGAAAGTTAAATTTAAATTATTTTTAAAATGATCAGTTTAACTTTGATTTTTTCACTCAAGTAAGGTTACTGATCAGACTTTCAATTTAGCAAATAAAAGGTTTTGGCGCCAAAATGAAAAAAAGGTGTTTTGTCAGCTCACAACAGTGCTGATGTCTACTCTCAAGTTTGTGGTGTGTCCCCCCACGCTCTCTCTCATTCTCTCACACACACACTCATATGTGCACACACACACACACACACACACACACACACACACACACACACACACACACACACACACACACACACACACACACTCTATTTATCATCTTCTTTGAGTATTGACTGGATTCGTCAAACATGCTTTTTAAACTTTTTTTTCTTTGAGTCAGTCATTAGGAGTGTCTCATAACCAATGTTATATGTGAACTATAGTATGTTGTTAGTCATCTGGTTGGGATTTGTGAAAGGGCTCTTGGTGCTCATATGACCTTATGCAGTTGCGAGCGCTGTAAAAACTCTACTAAAACTAAAACTGAAAGGGCTCAGTGACTCTTGTGTTTGTGCCTGCCAGTGTGCTGTTGTTTCTGTTTCAATCACTGAGTGAAGGGAGATAATTCCATTCAATACTCTCCTATTTGAGCCCTGGTAGTACTAGTTCTTTTCATCTCTTGCTCCAAAGTTCTGCATGGATGATAAAGTCTGTTTTATCATTTCATATACGGTTTAACGAAGTTTGTGCTTGTTGTAATGGTGCTCTGGTTTGCTCCTTCTTTCTTATCATACATCTATTGTCCATATCTCTTCCTTTTTTGTGTTTGTTACTCTCTTGTAACACCTCTATCTTCGCCACTTATATGGCCTTATTGTGTTCCAAGTGCCGCAAAACTCATTACTAAAACTAAACTGAGGGTTTGTTTTAAAAAAAATTTTTTTTAAGGTAATTTTTTGTTTTTGAAGAAGTAGGCAGGGGGGCTCTCGTGGCCTAGAGGTTAAGGTGTTGGCCTCTCATTCAAAAGGTCCCGGGTTCGAATATGGGTAGTGACCGAAAAATTTTCTTCTCTAAATTTGTCTCTTTTCACCTCCTTTCCTGCTTTCTAGCAATGTTCTGTCGTCTGCTTTCGTCTCCTCTTTCTGCCCCCACTCCTTCATCTCCTTTGCCCCCCTCCTCTGGGCTCCTGATTCTTTCTACAGCCTTTAACTGCTACTCCTTGGCTTCTTCTTACTGTTGTCTTTCAGCCACACCCCTGATCTTCTGGTAGGAAAGATCTACACCTAGCCTTCTTGGACAAGGGGCGAAAAATCTCTGAGGGCCCGTGTGCAAGTTGCGCACATTAAAGATCCCTTGGTGGTCTAAAATCGATAAGAGTAGGCTTCGGCCGCCACCCGGGCAAAATTCAAAATTTCCTACCAACTGAAAAAGTTGAAGGTCTCCCGCGCGCTCATATGACCGTATGCAGTTGCGAGCGCCGTAAAACACTTACAAAAACAAAAACAAACAAAAGAAGTAGGCAACAAGCCTGTTGATAACAACAGTTGTGTACATGTGAAATGAACTCTATTAATGTGAGTTTCGTTTTGTTTTTTTCTTCTCCAGCGGAGGTCCAGGCAGAGATTGAGCGTATCTTTGAGCTGGCCCGTGCCCTGCAGCTGGTGGTATTAGACTGTGATACAATCAACCATCCCTCACAGCTGGCCAAGACTTCGCTGGCTCCCATCGTGGCCTATGTGAAGATTTCCTCACCAAAGGTATAGTTGGACAATATTTGCTTTTGGACAGGGATGCAGTTTTTCCGTTATTTCGGGCATTATCCGTTAGGAGCTTTGTTTTATTGTTGAACTAACATGATGTTGTTTTGTTGCATTTATTGCTCTGTTGCATGCTGAATCTAGTCTGTGGGTGGTTGGCGGGTGCTCTGGTGTGGTTTGCTCCTTCTTTCCTATCAAACATCTATCGTCCTTATCTCCCCTTCTTCTTTTTTATGTTTGTTACTCTCCTGTAACACCTCTTTTCTTCTGGCACTCATATGACCTTATGCAGTTGCGAGCGCCGTAAAACCCTCTACTATAATATAATATATGAATCTAGTCTAGGAGGCTCTTTTGGCCTAGAGGTTAAAGTGTTCGCCTCTCTTTCAAAGGTCCTGGTCCTTTCCTGCTCTCTCACAATGTTCTGTCGTCTGATTTGTCTCCACTTTCTGCCCCCACCCCCTTTCACCTCCTTTGCCCCCTCCACTGGGCTCCTGACTCTTTCTGCAGCCTTTCTACTGCTACACCTTGGCTCGTTCTTAATGCTGTCTTTCAACCACATCCCTGATATTCTGGTAGGAAAGATCTACACATAGCCTAAGAGTAGGCTTCGGCCGCCACCGGGGCAAAATTCAAAATTTCCTACCAACTGAAAATGTGTCCTTCATGCTCATATGACCTTATGCAGTTGCGAGAGCCGTAACATAGTGTTGGGCGGTACCGCCGAAACCCAGTGTCGGTACTTTCTCGGCACTGGACCGCCAGTACTGGTACTGGGAGTGACACCAGGAGGTGACGTCACAGACTGGGTCTCGCGTCTCGCCACGATCAACGCCACCTGCATCCCCCCACACACAAAAGTCAGAATTGGAGAGGCGTACTGTGATGAAAAATACCTTTGAAGTTTGCCGCCACGCTTTATTAAACTTTGCATGCAGAATTTTAAAATTATTTATCGATGCTAAAATTACATTTTCGGAATCAGCGTATCAAAATAAGTTAAATGGCTCTCGTGGAACTTAATTTGATGCCATATTTAAATTTAAGCATACATGGTTTTTGATTGTCAGTTTTGAATCTGAAGACATGTATCAAGGTCACCCGCTGCGTTGTGCATCTGACGTCACTGCTGCTAGGCCTTGGCCTACACACTGCGCACTTCCCAGGGCCAGGTAAAAAAACGTTGGTGTCGGCTCCTTCCCAGAGCCGGTACTGGAGTCTTGGTGCCGGTACTGACACCTCCTTTGGTAGAACCGGGGGGTCTCGTACTGGGTACCGGTACCCTGTAAAACACTTACTCAAAAAAATAAAGAGTTGAACAATTATGCTGACAAAAAAACTCTTTTTCTCGGAACTGCTGTGAAGGAAAAATTTTCAGTTGTTTTTACCGAAGTCCAGTGGCATCCCTGTATGGAGTAGGACAGGTTCGTTGCTTGTACCAGTGGCTGTGGTGTAGGTGTTACGTGCTTGCTGTTGCACGCTCACCAGATGTTTCCATCTCTTTGGTTCTGTTTTATCATGGAATTTGTCAACTATATTTGGGCGTCTTTTGCCTTTGTGAAGTATGGCCTTTCAGGTACTAGAAGAAGAAAAAGCAGTTAAGAAGCACAACTTATATTATCCCTTTTCGGTGCTTTGGGTTGCCATAATTTGTTTTTCACGATGTTCACACTTTTGTAAGTATTCACATAACAAACATGTCGCACAGATTGCCACATCTACCTACAATTTTTGTTCCACACTGTTGTAAGGTCTAGAAATCAGCAGCAAATATTGTAAAAGTATAGTATATGTACTAAACTTTTACTTTACTTTTCCAATCCAGCTGCCATCTGGGTTCTAGCCCTTCGACCTGTCGATATGGCAAAGAGTTTACAAGTTTTTATCAGTTGTTTTTTCTCGTTGTATAGAATATTTCCGATATCTGGGGAGGCAGGTAGGTAGGTGCTATGCAGGTCGTTAAGTGCAGGGCAGGTAAAGAGATAGTCTGATACTGTTTCATCCTGGAGGTCACACAATGGGCAGTCAGGAGGGGTGTCCTTGCGGATCCTATTTAGGTAGGAATTCAATGGGATGACACATGTAGTGTGTTGTGTTCGAGATGCTTGGGAGTTTTTGTTTTGCTATGAAAATGTGTCCAAACCTTGTCTTGCTTTTCTAATTGTGTCCTCCCACCACCCACCCCTCGTGTGTTTTACAGGTGTTGCAGCGTTTGATAAAGTCACGGGGCAAGTCTCAGTCTCGCAACATGAATGTCCAGCTGGTGGCTGCAGACAAACTGGCACAGTGTGCACCGGTCAGTATGTGCAACTGGGGTTTTTTAATTTTTAAAAATATATATAAAAAGCAAAAAAGCAACAAAAAAAAACTGTGCTTTGTGCTTTGTTGCTTATTTCAGTTCATATTATCATAATGCAAGATTGATGGAAAAATTTAGTAATTACTTTAGTTTTGTGATCCAGCAGCCATTTGAGTTCTAGCCATTCGGCCTGTAAGATTTAAGTACAATTAAGAAGTTTTGACTTAAAGAAGACCTTTTCCAAGTGTAAATGGTTGTTCAAAATGAAAACCTAAGCAATTGTCAACTTTAGCCACAGTGTGGAGCCTTTCATTACTCTAAATGAGGACTTCAGATGGTAAAGTTAAATATTTTGCCTCCTGCTTTATTTTCCTAGTAATGTATGCAAGGGGAATTTGAGTTATCAGAGGGTTAAATGTAATAGGGTTTAGAATCAGTTAAGTGTTACAAAAAGGATCTACTGCTAAAAATGTGCATTGTGCAAAAGTGTTTTTTTTCTTTCTTTTGTTTACCTTCTGATGAGCGAGAGGTTGGAGGTTCCGCCGGTAGGTCCTATACTCTCCTTTCTCAATTGTGTTTGTCTTTCTTACTTACTGCACTGAATGACTGTTTCTGTGTCAATGTACTTCTCTTTACTCAAACTCAAAACTCAGACTGATTCAGTGGTTGGAGGGTGCCCTGGTGTGGTTTGCTCCTTCTTACCTATCAAACATCTGTCGTCCTTATCTTTCCTTCTTTTTTTTGTGTTTGTTAATCCCTTGTAACATCTCTAATCTTCGGCACTTATTTGACCTTATTGTGTAGCAAGTGCTGCCATAAAACACTTACGAAAATGAAACTCAAACTTGAATGTTGTACTACACCACCAGGAAATGTTTGATGTGATCTTGGATGAGAATCAGCTGGAAGACGCGTGTGAGCACCTGGCCGAGTTCCTGGAGGCCTACTGGCGGGCCACGCATCCCCCCAACATGATGCCTCCCTCGCCCCACGCTCAGCACAGGCCGGGAGGCTCCGGCATGGCCCTCAACCGCCACAACACACTGCCCGCCGGACACATGTCACACAGGTGAGTTGGGGGCGACCATTAATAATAATAGATAACATTTGTATAGCGCAAATCCCCGCTCAACAGCAAGCTCTGTGCGCTTCACGATTTATGCTATTACCCCAGCAGACCTGTGAGCATTCTGAAACAACCTCAACTTCCAAGGAAGCATACATGCAAGCAACCATTTATAGGCGCTAAAACACCAATATACTGACAACATCTTTCGCTGTCTATGGCCGGGTACCCTTTCCCACCTGGGTGAAGTGAGGAAATTTTGTGTAAAGTGCCTTTCCCAAGGACCTGCGACTCGAACCCCCGAAATGGCAACCTCACGATTACGAGTTCGGCAACCTAACTACGAGGCCACTGACTCCACATTCACACATATTCATGTCCATCTGCTCGTGCCGTGCATGTTGCTCGGGTGACTTATGGGACAATAAGCTTAATCCTCCATCAGTTTTACATCTTGGCAGGTTCACATATTTCTGATCTGCTCCCTGGCTGCTTATGGTTTTATTGTGCCTTTTTACTGTTAATTAGAATATACTTCTCAGACAATCTGTAAAAGGTGAAGTAAGTCATTAAAGCACAGACTGGAAAGCCTGTTGTTGTAAGGAGTGGAAATGGTGGTGGGTGAATGTAGGCTGTACAAATACCAGCTTTCTAGAAACAAAAACTTTCAAGTCGGTGCATTCATGTGTCATATTTTTAAGTGTGTTTGTGACGTTGCTCTGGCATATATCATGTCTGCATATATTTGTGTGTCATTTATAGCTCCTAGCCCCTACATTTTTGCTTTCCTCTTTTTCTTTTTGTCAATCTTGTTATTCCCAGTAGTATAAGATGGGCTTCTCTGTGACTTGTGCTGTAGCACTAATTATTTTATCCTCTAGTTGTTAATTTTCTGAAAATATAAAACTTAAACTAACATAAAAATGTGTCTCCCTGCTTCCCCTCTGTGCAGCCGCTCAGGCAGTTTGGAGCGCGTCCACTCCCCGGACAGTGACCGTCACCACCAAGCGCGGGAGCACCACCACTCCTCGCACCACCACCACCACCACCACCACCACGACCGGCAGGCGGGAGGCGGCGGGGGCCGTCACCACGACGACGACGATGACTACGACAGCGACCGTCAGCGCGGGGGTGGCGGGGAGCACCGGTCGGGGGACAGTGACCACCACCACTCCTCCCACCACCACCACCACCCCCACCACCACGCCTCCCCGCGGGGAGGTGGGGGATCCTCCTCCTCCAAATACCCTGTCCGCCACGGCAGTATAGACATATAGCACCACCAGCGAGGGATACATTATGCCACTCGCGTCACGTGACAGCGTACACCCCACTCCACCCTTCTGCTCCGAGTTACGGGGGGGGGGAGGGGGAGATACAAACAAAGACCCCTTCCTGTCACATTTTAGTGTGTAACCTGCCATTTGTGATGAGGGGGGTAGTACAACTGGGTTGCCTGTGACCGCCTGCAGTCTCCCCCCTCCCCCCCTCTCCCCCTTTAAATGATGCCTCCTTTCCTCTAGTGCCGGCCTGAACCTAATATTTCCCCACGTGTCTTCTCTCCCTGAATTCATGGAGAGAACTTTGCACATGTGAGCAGCACTGGACCCCCGCAGCTCAACGTGAATCAAAGAGGGAAGGAAGAATCCTACATATATTTGATTCAGATTCTTCAATTTTGTTTATGGTGGTCTTTAATTATTATTTTTTTGTTTTAATAATGGACTGCAACAGAGGGAGTCAGAGCCGAATAAATGTGCGTTTCTGGAGGAAGCCGTGGAAAGGACAACAGCTCTGACTGACAATTGGGGGGCTCTTGGAAAGGGCAAGAAGAAGCAACGTACACAAGTTATTTCCTACTGGATTATTGTTGACACCCAGCATGTCGTCGTTGCATATTTCAAGGTTTTCAGATTGATTTATTCCAAAGTGGATGGGGTATTTTTTTTCGGGGGTGGGGCTTTTTTTGTGTGAATGTGCTCTTGCACCTGGGAATCCACTTTGCCCCCCCTCCCTCGTCTTTTTCTTTTTTTTCTTTTCTGCCTCTTTCGTATTTATACAACTTGAGCTTTTGAAAGCGAATGTGCTGCTTTTGATCAAAATGGCGATTTCTTATGTGAAGGAATGGATCACTGTTACAATCCCAGGAGATTTGATATGCATTATTGCGCCTTACATTTGCCAGCACTGCAGACTCGTCATTTCACCGTCAGAAAGAGTTCTGGAGGCTGTTTCTTTGTTTGTGCGTGTAACTCGGTGTATAAGCATGTGTTTGTTGTATTGCAGGATATAAAACCCCGTTGAGATGTCTTGCTTTGGCATGCAATGTAAATGTATGTGAGTGTGTGTGTGTTTGTCAGAGCAGCAAGATGTACAGCCCATATGAAGTATCATGTCTTGTGAATCTGGTTCTCGTGAAGCTATGGGGGAGTAATTTGTTGTGATTATTGCCAGGTTGTGGGTGGTTTTCTTATGAGGGTTGTTTCTTTTTAGGTAGGGGGGGGGGGATACTTGCTTGGATGGAGAACCAAAAATCTGGTCAACATTTCTAGTCAGTGTTGTCATTTTGTATTGCTTTCTGCAAGGTTTTGAGTTGAGATTTTTTTTTTCTTCTCCTAATGGACCTTTTGCTCTTTCTGATGGTCTTTTTGGCCGATTCATGACAATATATATATACATACTCTGCTGTGGAAAGATCAGATCTGATTTTGTGAATGAATCTCACAATCTCTACCATGGAGTGGGAGAATCTGATCTGTTTAATGAATCTCCCTGCTCACGAGTAATGTTGAAGTCTCCTGAGTACAAGTATGCGTGTGTCTTTTGGTCTTTGGAAACTGTCATAGCAGGGTTTTTTTTATATTCAGGTGTATTCTGTAAACGTATAGCTTTAGCTTTTCCCTATGCCATTACATCAGAGGTGCAAAAACGTATGATCTTCCCAATAGCACTATTTTTAAAATTTAAGGTTGGTCTTTTCCTGCCAAGGTGTGAAGCAGTTAAAGAGGAATGATATAAAGAACACAGGAAAGAAAGTTATGCTATAAATCATATTTTTTGTGACGGGTGTTGGAAAGAAAAGCATCAGACATTCTTCAAATGTTTTAACTTATTTAAGTTATAAGATGATGTTGTTCCCGGGCCTCCTAAATGAACTAAATTATTTTCAATGACGGAAGCTAAACATTTCCACTATATAAATAGTAAGCAGATGGACTTGTACTGTTCTTTTTGGCTTCACTTTCATGTGACACATACCTTAATAATTTTCAAAGTTGGCCATGTACAAGTTGTGTAACTTGTTTAATGTTCAGGCACACTTTAACCCCTCCTCATATGTATATGTATCTGAAAAATCGTGTGTAAGATTTCAGTATTGGGGTATAATACCCCAGAGAACAGACATCCAGACTACTTCTGTATTGGGGTATAGTGCCCCAGAGAAGAGACATCCAGATGTGAGCCCTCGTCCTGCCAGACCTGTTTGTTCATTTCTCTACTGTGCAATATTCAGCAGCTTGCTGCTTTGTTTTGTTTGGGCAACCTTCAGTACTAATGTTCCCATATATAAACACATCGAGTGCAATATTATTGATTTTCCAAGTGGTGCATTTTATGCTTGATCTGTAGGCTGTCTTTTGTTGTGTTCGCCATTGTCGTTTGGCTGAATTTGAGATTGTATTCACAGCAAGTAGTCTCAGCACTGATCTCTTGGTCCCTACCTTCAGTGATATATTATATTTATTTTGACCATGTTTTACAGATATTTAGCTTGTTTGGCTAATAATAGTGTGAGGAGTTATCCCGTGCCCTCATACTCATCTGATATTTTGATTTAGAAGTACAAAGAGTGTGCTTGTCTCAGGTAGTGTTTTTTTCTTCAGTAATCCACAGGCATGTTGTGTACATTTCCCCCCGCTCACAAGTAATGCGGGCATTACTTGTTCTATTTTGCGTGCCCCCTAGTCAGCTCCCTTTGAGTTTTGTTTTTGTTGTGTACATTTTGGTTTTGAGTGATAAAGAGTTTCTGTATTTGATTTTGTTGTTCCCTGAGTATGATCTTTTCTTTTGCGTTGTGATTTTTTTGTTGTTGGTGCCAGCTACTTTTCCTTTTTAGCGGAGATGTTAGCTTGAAGGGTCACTGATATCCTGGCTTTTACTCATTAGTTTCTTTCCAAGGAGAGCGTTGTTGTTTTTTTGTAGACGATTTTCTCTTTACAAGACAATCCTGTCTAGTCATAATCAACTCCCTGTTTAACGGCATTGTCAAGTGAAGCCAGTCTACCAAAGCCGAAGGATTGGTTTTCCTCTGGTAAATGTTAATGACGAAAGTAATGTACTAAGATTTTGGATATTCAGAATCTGTTTATTTATCAGTATAACGCTCCCACTTTTTTGTCACAGTAGGTGTAGAATATTGGTCAAGTGTTGCTAAGGTTTTTACATTTCCCATTGACCTTTGAATTTTCCTTTGCTGTCGGTTCATTACACTGTCGGTTGTCTAGTGCTGAGACTTTTTCTGTTCTAGTCAGCTGGATTGTCATTTATTTTCCTTATTTTTAATGTGGCATTTTGAAAGTAAATTCCACCACCATCTTGTATGGGCTCATTGACCTGTGTGCCACAGTGCTGGCCCCTCAGTCCCCTCCTCTTCAAGCGGTCATCGCCTTCTCCCCTTGCTTCCCTCTTGCTCTTTGTAGGTCCACAAACATCTGAGGTAAAACATGTGTTTTTTTGTGAGAGTACAAGGGTGACTGTTTCATATCTGCTCCATCTTTTATATGTGGCCTTCCCAAACACTTTTTATTATATTGTAGGATTTTTGTTGTAACTTTACCTTTCAGGAACTCTTTCTTTTCTAAATTTAAGAGGACTTTGTAGATTGAAGAGATGGGTGGATATGAACATAATTCTATTTTCAAGTATTTAGAAGAGATTTTTTTTAGACTGTCTGCTTCCACAAGATTAGAATCTATGGGTTTGAACATTTTTATTTTTTCCTAACATCTCATCAACGAGTGTCAAAAGTTATTTCAGGTTTGTAGTTGAAAAGGTTTATTTTTCAAATGAATAGCAGGGAATGTTTCTGTAAGTTATAGCTCTGATGTCTTTACAACTTGCCTGGGAACCTCCAGTTTTCTTGCATTGTGGAGGGAAAAAACTGTAATGGTTCTTCAACATGCTGCACCTCACTGTCCATACCCGTTTTGAGTATGTGGTGTTCCCAGTTAAATTTAACGAACTATTTGGAGGTTACACTTTTAAGGTGTTGCTAAAGCGCAGAAATGTAACTGACTCTCAAGCGCAGAAGTAAATATTATATAGTCAAACTGTTGGGTTTTTTGGTTGTTGTTGTTTTGTTTTTTTTATTCATTTTTGAAGCTCATAGATCTTTTGTACCTGGATGAGTGCAAGAATAAGATCTCTGGGAATTGTCATGTTAGACCAGATGCTCATTTACTGATACTTTTCTGTACATACACATTGGAAGGGAGTAGGACTGACTGCCATTTGATTTTCTGGCGCCAAGTTTTAATTTGCTCTGAAGTGTATTCTTTGCTTTATATGAAACGGGTAATATGTCATAGCTCAGCTTAAGCTTAAGACGACTGTTGCTTTTCCTGAGGGGGACGGGGGGAGGAAGATGATGGTAGGTGAGAGTAGATTTGAAAAGGAAATGTGGAAACTGGTGAAGGAAAAAAATAAATACAGGGTCCAGAAGTGATGTCAGAGTTTGACAAGAGAGTCGGTTTGAGAAGACTGTACACCTGCCTCCATGATACCTGCCTCAATCTTCATTGCTGTTATAAATAAGTATATGGCAGAGGTTGTACCCGAATGGTGACACGTTAGAGACTCTCAGGCTCCTCTGCCATAAGCTGACAAACCGCCTTTTTAAAATAAAAATTGGCACCAAAATTTATTATTTGCGAAATCGAAAGCCTGATCAGTTACCTTGCCTGTGTGAGAAAATCAAAATGAAACTAACTAGTTTTTGAATAAATTAGAATTCAAATTTCGGAATCACTCTATTTTTAAATAGTTACGCTGACACCCCCTCCCCCCTTTTTTTTCCTCGATACTGCTGTGAAAAAAAATAAAAAAGGCGTTTCGTCAGCTTACGGCAGTCCTGTAGTCTTTGTTATGGATGGAGCACCATGTTGTTTTGGTTTGCCGAGAGTTGCCCTGTGTAGCCAGATTCCCCACCCTCCACCCACTCACACACTCACCTCTGTGCTGGTTTTTACCCACATGTCGGATTTAGAAAGATGGTGGCTTTTCCCTCCACGCTCGCACACCCCAACCGCCACACCCCCTCAATTAAATATATCTGTTTCGGGCACAAGTTGTTATACTGGGAAGTCACAGTCAGATTCCGGTATGATTTGAAGAAATGAAAAAAGCAGAAAAATCCACAGTGATGTCTGGCGATCCATAGAAAATCAACAGTTGTTATGGGTGAATGTTGGTAAATGCAGTTGTCAGCTGATAGAACCCTGTTGGCTGCACTCATTGGTGACAGGCTTTAGGCCGTTTCGAAGTGGTCTACCCTTCATTTCAGCATTTTTCACTGTCTGCCGAAAGTGTGTTCTTTGTACCTTGTTTGAACTGGACCCGGACCCCCCTCTCCTTTCCTCAGTGTGTCTGCCGTCCCTTCTCTTCCTGATTTGTAGGTTGGGGAGGAGGGTCTCTTAATTTGTTTTTCTTTTTTCTCTCTTCTTTTTGGGTAAGCGGAGGGTGTCCTGGGGCTGTGTTTTTGTTCCTAAGTGACCAGTTCTGAGAGCTGTATCAGCATCAACTTTTTCATGTGCAATGTTTTGACATATTAGTCATTCTCGTTCGATCATGTGATTTATTTAATATATTTTCCCTGTCAAATATATATAATATTATACATATAAAATGTACATGAATTTAACAGTGTCAATGTACAGAATAATATCTGTTTTGTATACCATACATCTCTTTCAGTTCAATCACTTTTTTATTACTACTGGCTTTTAGAATGTTTATTTCTCTTTCTTTTTTTCTTTTTTTTAAACACAATTATTATTGTCTTTTTCCCCCCCGAATATCCTTTATACGGCTACCGTTAAAATAATTATTGTTTTAATTAGAACAAAATTGTTTCCTCTGTGTCTCTCTCTTTCTGTCTGTCTGTTTCACTCTTTTTCTTCTCTCCCTCTCCCACGCTCTTGTTTGTCCCTGAATGTTTTATGAGCATGCTTAGACCTGGTTGAATTGGATTTGGTAATTTATTTACTTGTGTATATATATATATAGAGTTCCACCCGATCTGACAACCCTGGGTGAGTGTGTGCATTTGCCTGTGTGTATTTTGTGTTTGTGTGTGTGTTTCCGCTTTTGTAGGACTTTCAATTTAAGCTAGTGTTTTGAGTGCTAATGAAAGTTTAAGAGATGTATGGAACTGTCAGTCTGCCTGTGGGTATGCTGTGTATGTGTGTGTGTGTGTGTGTCTGTGTCTGTGTTTGTGCATATATTTGTGTGTGGTATAAGGGGTCATTGAAAGATCCCTGCACACATTTTCTAGTCAATATGGTGGTGCACATATATGTGTCCCGACATTGTGGAATCAGGCGCTCGTCAATGTTTTGGGCAGATTGGGTTATTAGTATTATCTTAAAGCCTGTTTATTTGCCTTCCTTTTGGTGAAAAAAATATCCATTTTGAATTGAAGTCTAAATATTTACGACTGAAAGAGGCCAGGGTCGCCTGGTTTCAGAGGTAAAATTAGCAAGAAAAATGGCCGCCAAAGTTTGGTAGCTTCTTTAGCCTGAGAGTTCTTGGACATTGAAATTTAATTTTTTTGTGCCTTTAAACAATGTTTTGCAGTAAAATCCACACGAAATGTTTCTTTAAATGGACATAAAAGATGTTGAGCCAAAAGAAGGAAATTAGTGAAATATTGACCACAGGCCCAAAAAATGCCAGTTTCTTTGATGTCATTATTTTGACAAGCGCCTGATTTCACCACCATGCCTCACATATACACACTGAAGCACAAGCAGAGTCATAGATGCACAACAAGCGAGAGCTGCCAGTTTGCCTCTAGATGTTGGTCACTCTTTCCCAGAATTCGTGTTTTGGTTGTGATGTGCTGGCCCTCGTACCTTCAACCCTTCTTCTACTTCGACTTTTCTTCACGCCGACCCCACCCCCTCTCCTCCCTCAGTCAGTCCAGCCAGCCTGATTTCATTCTTCTTTCCCTGTGGTTTTTGCCATTCCTCTTCTATAAGATAAGATAAGGTACATCTTTATTGTCCAGATCCTGGCACATTGGTTTGGTGTTTCACCGCATACACGATTTTTTAAAGGGTATTTTAGTTTATTCCAACCACTTTTGCTTTCGTTTTATTAATTCCAGCAGTGCTCTGACGTCTTGCATCTTTGTCTTCTTTGTTGTGTTGCCCACAAATCACAATTTTTGTGGTCTAGTGGGTTTTTTTTTCATCAGAGAAACAGTTTAACTTGCCTCCTGATTGGATTAAAGGGGCTGTTATCACCACTGGTAGTCAGATTGTCCTTATTAGCAAATAGGTTGAGTGGCTAGGATGTATTCTCTTCTATGAGTCGTCTATAGCTTCTATAGTTGTGCCTTCTTTGATGCCTAGGTTGTCACTATCTTGAGGTGTTTTTCTCTCTTTGTTACTCAGTTGTCTCAAAGTTGTATGCAGTTGTGAGTGCCGTAAAACCTTACTGAAACCAACAACAAAGAAAACAAAATCTCAAAGCTTCGGCTGCATTTTTTGTTCTGTTCTTTTTTCTTCTTTGAAGATAGGTAGGCAAAGGTCAGTCTTCCCATTTCATCATTCTGTTGGGAAGAGGCTTTTATTACTGGCAATTTGCCTCTCCTGTTTCATAGGTGCCCCATGTTGGCCTGACGTCATGTCACATAGTCCTAGAAGGCCGGAGTATCCCTTACACTCTTTTGTATTTACAGCCGTGTTGTGCTTGTTGCTGCCTCTACTAAGTCGCTCATCTCAAGTTGGTTTGTTTCCCTCTGGTTACTTGTGGCGTACCCTTTTCCGTGTGCTCCTCCTTTCCAAGTCTTGCATTTTTTGTTACCACTTTCTTTGTTTTGTTCTTCTTTTTCGGATAGTTGATCAGCAAGTGAAAAGTAAAACTGGACAAAAACGTTTTGGACATAGAGATGTCGGTTTCCCAGATAAATCTGGAATTATCCAGATTATATCACTTTTTATAGAAAAGCAGTCCTGATGCAGGATGAATACGGCAATATCTGTACACTTTGGGTCACTGCATTGTTGCACTTCCATAGAGTCTGAAAAGTTTGTGGGTTTTTTTTCATTATTAGTTGGCACCTCTGTTGACAGTGTTTTGTTCCTTAATTCTGTTATTATTTTGTTGGGGGGAGGGGGGGGGGGGGATCCAATATCAAAATATACTTTACTACGTGGCAGAATGACTCACAAAGATGGTAATCTAGGGGCCAAAGAGGGGGGGGGGGTGCAAATGTATTGGTATGCCTGATTTTCTTATCTGGGAGTTATGCCTTCACCTTCCATTTGTTGGAGCTGTTTTCTTGTCCAGGATTCAGATATTTTTGGTCTCTTACAAGGCATGTGCACACTGCCATGAAGGAGAATGTCAACTATTCAACCTAAAGAAAAAAACAGGATGTAGGATTGCAAATGAATGTTAGCGTTCCCCTTTTTTGTTCTAACTTTTAAAAATGTTTTTGCTTTTGGGTAGAATATTGATGCTTCAAAAATGAAATAATTCACATGATTTTTCTTTGCGTTTACCACAAGTGTATTTAGAGGTTACCTCCTTTCTATTTGAGCAAGTCGTCCTCCCACAACAATATTTTCTGTGACTTCCCTTTTATACTTTTTTCTTGTATCAATGCCTGGTTCTCCATAGTCCCATCCTGCTAGGCGTCTTGCTGTAAAGAGGTCTTGCATCCATGTTAATTTGCTCAAGTTGAGTTTGTTAGAAAATTGCCATTTTTTTTGTCTTGTGTGCTCGATTTTGTAATTCACTTGTTACCAAAAACAGCAGATCTAAGTCGTACTACCTATTCATGCTGTGTCCTTAGTAGCGTCGGAGAGAGGGAATGGAAAGGGCGCAATGGATTCTATAGAGTCTGACACAAACAGTTGGAGTTCTTTGGTTGGAGTTTGAATTATACCTGTTGTGCTGGTAGAATGCTGTGTGGCTATCATGTCTTCTTCTCTACTACTGCAGTGGTAAATATATTATCAGCTCTACATTTCAAGACATCAGTTATATGATTAGGCTTTGTTCTTTGTTCTGTTGTGATTCACACACACTTTAGTTTCATTTCTCTTGGGGCTGAACCACCTTGATGTCATCCGGTAGACTGGTCTTCAAGCCACCAACACTAAGTGGAACACCAAGTGGAATGACATACAGCCTTTGATTGGTGTGGTCTGTCTGTCTGTTCAGAATGACCCACCACCACCTCCCCCAATGATGCCCACCCCATCTCTTGTCTTCCACCTCAAGACTCCTCTCCTCCCCCCCTATGGTTCTTTCCTCTCAG